GGTTGTGAGGGTGAAACGCGAGAGTGAATGGAATGCGGCCGGAATTTTCCTTCTTTGACGTTTGTAGTGCTGACTGTCGATCAATAAGTTGGGCGCGGTGGTGACCCGCTTGAACGATAGAAACAGGGTAACCACGTTTTTTGAAAAACTGGCACATAGACTCTGATTTGTGGGAAAAATCAGAGTCATCACTATATAAACGACGAAGTCTTGGAAACTGAGAAAAGGGACTGGAATTCTTAACATGAGATGGATGCGAAGATGAATACAACAAGTAACTACGTGAGTCTGTAGGTTTGTAATAAACACTAGTGGATAAAGCGATGCCTTCAATTGAAACTTTGATATCTAAAAAGGATAAAGAATTGTCGGAAAATTCCCAGGTATATTTTAGAGCCGGGTGAAAAGAATTTACTGCGGTTATGAATTGAGTAACCTCCTCTCTGGTAGAGGAGGTAGCGCCGATACAGTCGTCGATGTAGCGACCATAGAGTTCAGGTTTGGGGCCAATGATGGGGTTTAGTTTTAGATATGATTGGTTGATAGAGTGGCGCTAGTTTTCTGGACCAATCACAGAGCAAAGTAAGCAAAACGGAAGCAATCCCGGATCATCTTTGAGAATTACTCTATACATACTTGATGGATTGCAAAATGATAAGTGTTTCTATTACTAACCCTGTGAAAATCCACCAGTGTCGTATTCTTTCCCCAAATAGGAGTCCGGTCACTAAGAATCTTTTCCAAAGACAGAGTATACTTGACTCCAGTGAGATCCGATACATACAAGTTGTAAGAATCTTGGCCATTTTTTTCATGTCTTACAACTACCATAACTTCTCCTTCACTTGCATCGACAATTTTGAATGACTATATAAAATAAAGAAACTTTGATCAGTGGGGCTGACAGCCTATTTCTAGGTAGATATGAGAGTTTTTCTTATACAGCGCAGGACCACGATACACCTAGCCTGCCGATCTGGCGTGTTTTGGCAAGCAAGTGTTAAGCATTTTCTTGGTGCAATTATAGCTGTTATCTTTGATTTTTACAGCAGTAGAAGGCTGGGGAGTGAAAGAAATTTGTACTAAGGGGGGTGAGCAATGGTCAAAGAGAGGAGAGGGGAGAATGTGGGGCAATGGATATCGGCTCCCCCTCCCCCACCGTCCACTCAAAATCAAAAATGGCCGGCCGGATAAAGGATCACGAGCTTGCAACGCTAAGTCGTCCTAATAAGGGAAAGGAAAGCCCAGAATATTTTAACAAGTATGTCAACGATGTCAGTGGTAAACATGCAAGCTGTAATGTTTAACTTGGATTTGCCTTTATCAAAAACAACTTGTGATAACCAAGACTGCCTTGATAAAGCAGATGAGCTTATAACAGGTAAAAGTGAAATCTTTAAAAAACTGTACAAATGTTCAAAAACTACATTTTCTATCTTGAAACAAAAAGGTCCAGTTCCTCATAATTTCCCTAGCATTTCATTCTTTACTTTCTACAAAAGAGACAATAAACTGCAAAATCATTATAATAATTGCATAAATAATTCTAAAAAATACTGAGCCTACCTTTGTCTCAACATCAAGAGGGAACTGTGCCTTTCTGAAAAAATTGTTGGTGGAGTTGTCATCACTTTTGTAGTAAACATACAAGTCTGCATTGACGTTTAATTTCTGTGATGTCAAAATATTTTCAATTCATTAGTCAACTTGGAACCTCATTAATTATCAGTGACTCAGTCTCAGACCTTTACTTCACACATATAATTCTTCATTCTTTACAAAAATGACTGGTGTAAAACTGATTTAGAACTCCTCGATCAATTGGCCCTAAATGTTGGTTGTAGCTTCAATATAATTGGTGCAGTAGACAATTCCCAAAAAAAGATAATTTATTTAACAACATAGTTGCATTTTGAGACTGAAAAAAGCTCAGTTTTTATCAAAATCCTGTGAAAAATCAATGTTTCCACTGTCACAAATAACCAAAATTTTAATAGTAAAAAATGTACAGTTAAAAGAGGATTCTTTATGTCAAAACCATTCCATTTTTAGCTACCAAATTACTTAAAAGACAGCTGATCACAAGTTATTTACCATATCTTTACAGAAATTAAAAGCCCTTGGATGAGAGAATTACTCATCAGATCTGAGTATGTATGTAGGTATGTATTTAAGAATATTTAGATAGAGTGGCCCAGTTCAGCAAATAGGTGGTTTAAATGGGGCCCTGTGAAACAAAAACACCCACCCATCCCACCCCAGGGGAGGACATCCACCACACAGTAATCTCATGCGTGGGAAATTAACATCTCCTACCCCTAACCCTGCAGGAGATGGGGCCTACAGTTTATTCGTCTTTATCTGAAAAGACTAGAATATCTATCTGTTTCTTGATATTATAGAAAGGTAGCAAATTCTCCTCAGTTATTTTAAGACCATGAGTATTGGTCCGGCCGGGGCTCAAACCCTTGACCTCCCGCACAACACAATCTGGCGCTCTAACCAATTGAGCCAACCGGGGGGCAGTTCACCCTTTCCACCTTAACATCAGTATGCATATTCTCCATACTGTTCTCTATACGTTTCCTAAGGTGCTGAAAGGGAGAATTTGTCTAACAATCAAGAACTTCTTTAATCGGTGATCAATTCCTTAATTCTCCTGACCTTTGTGTGTGATTTAGGGGTGATATTGTAAGGAGAAATTAGATGTTATTTGCTCTGAGTGGCTAAATANCACCCATCCCACCCCAGAGGAGGACATCCATCACACAGTGATCTCGTGTGTGGGAAATTAATGTCTCCTACCCCTAACCCTGCAGGAGACAGGGCCTACAGTTTATTCCTCCTTATCCGGGAAGACTAGAATGTCTATCAATTTCTTGATATTATAGAAAGGTAGCACATTCTCCTCAGTAACTTTAAGACCTTGAGTGTTGGTCCAGCCGGGGCTCGAACCTTCAACCTCCTGCACAACAGTCCAGCGCTTTATCCATTGAGCTAAGCAAGAGGCGGTTACATAATACATGTACTATATTATCCACCTGATAGAGATATATCTAGAGAATAGCATTATCCAACATTCAGATAACTGGGTCCAGCTTCATATTCAAATTGGCTTCACAAATCAGTTGATAGAAATAAAAATAATAATAACAATAATAATAATAATCATCATCATAATAATAATCATAATAATGAGGAAACCCAAATTGCCAAGGCAGTTTTCAGTGGGGCCTTCAAATATAACACTTATATCTAGTTCTGCACTACTATCTCAGAACAGTTATGAATTTGACTTCAGTTAAGGCTTTTTTTTTTTTTCCAAGCTATAATTTTACAAACACTGAGGTCGTCTACAGTAGATAAATGAGATTATCTTTTCTCTGGCTTCAAAATCCTTAGCCCCCAATTCAAATACGGTATTCAGTTATGCTCCATTTAACCCTTTACAGGCTAACATCAGTGTGCACTGTTCTCTTTACATTTCTATGGCACTAAAAAAGAGAATTTGTTAGACAATTAGAAGCTTCTTTAAATTTGCCAACATTTCCTTTATTCTCATGACTTTTACACCATAAAAACCCGCCGATAAGCCACAACTTTTTTGCAAAAATTGTCTCTAGAAATTGGGGATGCGGCCCATCTGCTGGATCATTCGAAAAAAGTGTTGCGAATGACGACACCAATTTCCGTTAATGCGTCCGATCTAATGCCTGGTTACTAAGCTTTGAAAAATCCACTCACATTCTTGTTGTAATGCAAAAATCTATGGAAAAACTGTGTCGAGTGAAGAAATTCCTGTCAACAAATACTAGAAAAAGATCAATCATTGTTCCCTCAATGGAATTAATTATGAACGGACAATAGGCAAACTTTGATTGACACTTAGGAACAATTTTCACTTTGAATGGTTTTAGTTTCCTGTCTAGTTATAGCACGTTTAGAAAAAATGTGAATCAGCCACTTACCAGATACAGGAGTTTAAGTTCGCCGAGTTCGGTAATTCAAGCCGCAGTTTCAGTTCGGTAGTTCATAGTTTATGGAAACCCGCCACAGAAGTAGGTTTGGTTTGAGTTTTCTACGGTAATTCTTTATTTATTTGTTAGGGATCTCAACGTAGGTGAATACCACAAATAACTGTTGTGAAATTTGTTGATTTCAGATCGAATAGTTATATCAATAAACCGTTGATTATCCGATATACGGTCGTTTCCGTAAACTTCTAAAGTTGTCGACTCGTCAGTGGTCCAGAACGATATTTTACTTTT